ACATATATAGCAACATGGCGTTTTTTCCGGGAGAACATTTTTTATATTTTTGAGAAATTAAATAATCAGTGTAAAGTAGATACAATTTTCATAAAATCCTTTTATTTAAATGGTAAAACGGAATTTTATTAAATCATATTAGCATTACTGGAGAACTTTTTTATACTTTAAGAAATTTTTTTTGCTAAAAATAAAACTGTAGAGAGCATAATTAGAAAATATTTTTTTTAAATAGTAACACGTAATTTTATGTATAACCATATAATCATTCATTTATGTTGTCAGTACATAATGAAATCTGGGGGACCTTAAACACAATATAGAGCAGTACAAATGTACATATTAAACTATTTTGCTCCTTTAATGTCTAGGGTATGTTGATAATGATAATCTTCAATGTTTTACAAAGACGTTTAATTTCTCAAAAATGTAAAAAATGTTCTCCCGGAAAATACGCCTGGTCATGCTATACGTAGCTGTTTCTATACGTTGGATTTCTATCAGGTTTGACTTCCCACATTACCATGGTAGGACTTTAATTCTGTTTTTATGTACAGAGCACATATTATTACGTAACAAATATCCAGTCACATATTAGAAATTAAAAACATGCTTGTTCCGCTTAATAGCTCGTCAATAAGAGCAGTTATGTTTGAAAGATAAGTTTCCATACGTGCAATTGGATTTTACTTGCGCGCAATTGCAAGCCTTGAAATTCCACGCATTTTTGCGCAATTCTGAACAATTCCATGCAATTCAAGCTGCTCTACAACAAAATTCCCATTGGAAACCCAACTCGGTGGGATCGGTGGAGACCTCCACTGGTGTCTAAAAAGATATATCAAGATGTATTTTGACGATTAGCTATAGGATAACAACAACGTGTTCCAGCGTTTGTTTCTTCATTCAAAATATCAGGAAGTACCGTGATATTGATTAATATGCAGCGACTTTAAAAACCAAAATTAAATCAACTTTTTCAAAGTAAAAATGGTTTTAAAATCGTTTATATTTGATATTTTATTTGATAAAAATCCGTGTTGTAAACTTGTAATCTCACCATTACAGCACATAATGCAACGGAAGCAGGCATTTAACGAGAACAAGAATCCGGGATAAAGAAATAGAAAACAAATTGGTAGAATCAAGCTAGCAATTAGAACTTCCTTAGAACAAAAATATAAGTTGTAGATAAAACTGTGTAGGATAATCTGAAAAAAGTTGTTAAATCAGAGCTCTTTGAAGACAAAGAGAAAAAAGATTTTTACAATAGTCATGTTTTTTGCTTGGCTTAATTTTCATTTCTAGTTTAATAGAATGACAACGTAACAATGTAAAACGTCTGAAAAATATTCTTGAGCACTTGAAAGGTGAGATTGATTAACTAGCCAGAATTTTTTACCTTACCTTACCTTTCCTTACCTTACTTTTACCTTACGCCAGTTTTTTACCTTACTTTACCTTACCTTACCTTAGCTTACCTTAGCTTACCTTAGCTTAGCTTACCTTACCTTACCTTACCTTACCTTACGCCAGTTTTTTACCTTACTTTACCTTACCTTACCTTACCTTACCTTACCTTACCTTACCTTACCTTACCTTACCTTACCTTACCCCCCTTCAAAATTACGTTTTCTTGTCAGTTGGGAAGTTTAAATTCTGAGTTTTAAAATAAGAATAAAAATAGTTACTTTATAGTACTTTTAGGATTAATTTGAAAGACACAAAAATCATAACAAATGATGCCCAATGTGGTTTTTAATTTTGTTTCTAAGGTTCGAATCCGCTCTCTAAGGTTTGAAACGCCATATTCAAGGTTTAAATCATTCATCCCCCTTTTGGGTAATTCATGCTCCCAAGCTTTGAACTGTTCCAACAAAGAGTTGCTTCCTAGCTCCCAAGTTTTGCACGATACTACACCTTTAAATCCCTTTTGAAACCTTTTGAAATCCCTCCTTCAAAGCTTCAAAACATCCCTCTGTCGTCTTAAGAATTGAGTCCGTCCTTACTAAAGATTTTAGTCTGTCTTTCTTAGGTTTGAAAGGCTGTTCTGGATTTGTATTAAAATGATGGATTTATGAATAAATAGTTACAGAACCATGGATATCTATGTTTCCGAACCCAACAACAACAACTGGAATGAAAGCGCTATTTGAAAAAAATATGAGCAAGCAATGTGTTGATTTGAACTACAAGACATGACATTTTTCGGTTAAATTGAACTATTTTCAAACGACCAATAGTTCAAAAAGAGTCAAGAGTTCAAACGGCAGGAGTTCAAACTAAATTGCACCCACAGCCATTGGCGTACGAGAGCATTTTTATACGGGCATGAAAATAATGAAGCACACATGCACTGTCACATGAGGAAGGGAAGGCAACCTCCCCCGCACAGCTTCCGAACCTCATTTTGCCTATTTGTGGTAGTGCACGTTTTCAGAGGGCTTCCGAACCTCCCCCAAACAGTCTTCCGGGAAGGATCTTCCATTTATAATCGTCAATTTCTACTGAAAACGGAACTAATTTGGTTATTTAAGCATGACAGTCGATCTATAGTATCCCTAACGTTTGCATGATATTTTTTTTTATAATTAAAGTTCGGGCTGGAAAAACTTAAACTTTGTAGATTTTGTTTGAAATTGTGTTTGTGTTTCGTTTTTCTTTGCGGCATTCGCTGAATACCCATACTGCTACCAAACCTCCAGGTTCGGAAGCAATATTTGGGTACATTCTTTCTAACACATTCAACGTTCGGAACTTCATGATTTTTAGATTCATATTTGAACTTGTGTACAGTTTCAAATCCCTTGAACTTGTAAATAAAGAAATTTACATAAACGCAATACACATAAATTTACATGAAATTCATTTTGCAGACGTAAACGTAATTTTTATATTAAGTTAATTTACCTGCAAAATAATGCATTAAACAATGAGAAAAGGCAATTTCAGCGATGCTTAAATTAAAGAAAATGTAATTATCCTTCAATCTAAAATATGTATTTCAAATCTGTAGCGCTAGTAAAAAAGACGGAAATAGTTTTGAAATCATTAGGTTATAACAGAGTTTTGTTTTCTTTAAATATCTCAATAACTGGAAAGAAAATTAACAAACAGATGTTTTTTAAAAACAACATTTTATGAAGAAAACTTTTTTATATGTCTACATATTACTAAAAGTTATTGTCTACATATTACTAAAATTTATTCATAAAATAGCGATAGCCATTCCAAAATTTGTTGATAAAAAATCTATAAAACAAAGCTATTTTCTTACTGAACTTTGATGGTAAAAAAAAAATATTATGCAAATGTTAAGAATACTATAGATTGACTAGCGTGCTTAAATAATCAAATTAGTCCCGTTTTAAGTAGAAATTGACGATTAGAAATGGAAGATCATTCCCGGAAGACTGCTTGGGGGAGGTTCAGAAGCTCTATGGGGACGTGCACTGCCGCAAATAGGTAAAATGAGGTTAGGAAGCTTTGCGGGGGAGGTTGCCTTCCCTCCTTAGTCACATATGATAGGGGAAAGATAATGATATATTTGTAGATAAGTCAAATCAATGTAATCATAGATCTTTTGATACGAAGCAAAAGAGCCTAAATCAACAAAATAAAATTTATGAAATCTGAAAATCTTTAAGAACTGTTAAAAGATCCTTCTTTTAAGTGTATTTTAACATTAAATTTATGGAAATACTTTAAATTCAATTTTTTTGCACATTTCAAAACAGGCCGATTTATCTTGCTTTATTTAGTTCTAGATTTATAAAAAATGTTAAAGTGCAGAAATACTATGTTTTTGTCAAGAATAATAATAGTACGACATATATTGCATATCCAGGACAGAACAGTTTACTCATTAGGTTCCTTCATGTAAATTAAGAACATAAGATCTAACAATATTCTCTGGTCATTTCATTTCATTTGAAGTTATTAAATTTTATCAAATAATATTTAAAGTTTACTCAGAAGAATATTTCCTCAGGGCCTTTTCAGAATATTAAAATTTCCTTTTACAATGCAATGTCACTATTAAACATTTAGTATTCAAAAAGCGTTTCAAAGGCATTTAAAAATTTTAAGTTAATTTGAAGGATAAATTCAAATCCTATAGTTTCATAAGTCTAACAAATTCAAATAAATATCTACCCTTTTTTCTCAATACGTTTCCTTAATTATGTAGGACTCTTTATGACCTTTATACAGCAAATTTAGATCAGATGTTTATACCTTTTAGTTTGAATTTAAAACTTATTTATTTTTCTCGCAATTACATAGGTATATTTGATTTTTCTTTGCAGTACAATTATACAGGGGAGTAAACAGGGGGGCGGGGGGGGGGGATAAATTGTATTATTCTGCACTATTTTTTAGCAATACTATGCAGTACTTGAACTAAAGCAGTATTTTAAATACATCCTACACTACAGGGCAGAAGCGCCTTTAGGTGATAGGGTGAAATACTTAGAGAGAAGTTGGAGTACTTAAAGAGGGATTGAAAAATTTGAGGCGAAACATAGTGGGCATCTTCGAGGTCCTTAAATTGGTTTTTACGAATGGATCAAAAAATGCTTTGGTTATGGCGCTCCTTTATCATACTAAAATAATTTATTATTTTCTTTCAGGAATCAAAAAGAAAAAAACTTTTCAGTTTTATGAAATTTCCAGGGGGATAAAGTTTTCAATTATTCAGTTATTCTATACTGCAATACAGAATAAAAGGATGAGGAAGTATATTGAACATATATTAGTAAGAAGGGGGAGGGGTAATTATTGCAATATTTTATTGCAAAAAAAAGAAGGAA